TACACTTCTCCCGCTCCGTCCACTTAAAAACTAAAACACCTGGTAATGCTTATAAAAAAATTTTTTACTTAAGGCTGGAATTCCGTTTTTGGGAATTTAGCTAGAAGATTTTTCAATTCATCAGTGGCCCACCTGTTTTTTAACATAGCTGATGAATTCAGCAACTCGCGCATCTGCGTTATATTCTTCCAGAATGACATTATTCATGATTGGTTGATCCATACATTCACGATCATAACAAAATCCTGGTGGTGGTCCATAGCCATCGGCGTAGAATATACTTGTCAAGATGTTCGTTTCTTAAAATCTGTTGTGTTTGACGCAGTCACAGGTGGCCGCAGTGTGATGTTCGGTTTTTTTAAAACAGTCTTGTCCAAAAAATAATTGTTGCTGGGCAGTTTAAAAAAAACATTAGGCTCAAAGACGTACTGAATATTTTTTAAGAAAGTGGCCTTTTGTGTTTCTCAGGTCAAAAAAACACAAAAGGTCATTGTGATACGAACAAAAAAGGTCCCCTCTTTACGTCCCAACTTCTGACTTCAGGTCATGTCCAGTAGGCAAATTAGCTTTCTATATGCCCCATTAAATCGTATGTATTAATACTTGTATGTCTTATTAAAACTATGTAAGAGCCAACAAAAATGCAAATTTGAAGTACACATATTTGATCCCCATTTACCGGAGATTCTAGTTCAAACAAAGTATTAAAGCTGATATCCGTTTCTGATCCATTGTAAAGTTAAGAAGTCAATCCCTTTCACTCATTCATACCACCACAAAAGACGCTTTATCTCTTTCCCATTCTCGTCAGTGATTTAAGGAATGAGAAAAAGGGTAGCTCGGCCATTTTTTATGTCATGCATTTGCCACCCATGTATATTAAATTTGTTGAGAGTAAAAATTTACTAAGATCATCAGATGCGCCCCAGACAAACTCCAAACTTGCATTTTGAACGAGAGCCTTTCTTTCAAGGTAATGAAGGCGTGAAAAAAACACCGCTTCGAAATCCATCTGCAAAGTGATTATTAAACAGTCAAAAATATTTTTGACGGACGCTCAAAAATCCCGTGTTTCACTGTCGAGGAACTATTATACATCTCTGTCTAAACAAAACCTTCAAAATTCACTCTCTATGAGATGTGAAGACACTCAGAAGCAGCCCAATTGCTAGCATCTGCCAACAGTAAATATCTGCTGACAAAGCTGTTAATGATTTTTTCCTAAAGTTGCTTACAAAGAAAGTTTTGACTTTCTGGCATATACCGGTACCAATTTACCATCAAAACAATTGAAAAAATCGTAGAACGGAATGGTTTTCCAACTCAGGATTCTGCCAATCCAAGAATCCACGTAGTGCATAAAGAGTGAAAAAAACATGCCAGTGCAAGTAAATTTGCCATCTCACGGCTATGTCCAAAGGGATCAATTTGCCAGGCAACACGTGCAGTGCCACATGCGCCGAAATACTTTTGAAGCATTCTCAGTCCATGCGTCATCTGCTCCACAATATCCACGTAGTGTGCCACTGCCTCATCGTTTTGCACCCAGCCACCACCAACAAACTCAATTTGCCCTAAAATTTTTAGAATTTTCCCTCATAAAATGCTTTGTCTTTTATGACTGCTAATTCGCCCATACTGCATCACTATGTAACTAGAAAATCCCCAAAACGTGAAGTGAGAAAATTATAGACTAGCAATTAAATGATTTTAAATCGCAACATTATGAATAAAGTTGATTTGCAGAATAGTACCACGGATAATGCAAAACCCGGACAAATTCGTGTGTGTGTACCATGTTAAAGTCA